GCCCGGAGACAGCCGCGGGTGCATCGTGCGCGCGGGGCCGGGCCTCTGTGCGGGTGTGTTTCCTACACCGTTGCCGGAAGGGATGAAGGGAGGGTTAATGTCTGTGGCTTCCCATCGATCCTCTTTATAGTAGGACTCAGTTTGATTAGTAAAAGGTGGGAGTCGGTGTTACCAGTACAGTATTATCTGTAGCCTTCTGAGGGTCAGGCATTGAGCTTGGAAAATTTCCAATGTCTCGGCTACCCGACCGCCGACTACAAGAGCAGACTTGGCAAGAGGGCTGGAGAGTCACAGAATGAATCCTTCCCGGCGTTTCGTTTCCACCAGTGGGATGGGAAAGGGGATGTGTAAAACTTTTGGCCTTCTGTTGGTTCTGCCTGTCCGCTACTAAGTAAGCAAGGATGCTCAAGGGCATTTTGTTAACCTTCGTTTACTCCACTTTTTAAGGTTCAAAATGGAAAGTATTTATTGACCAAATTAACAGGTCTTTGGAGGATTATGAACCATGTTCGAGTCAAAACTGCAGCTGCTACCATGGGTGAGTTCTTTGCTTTGTCTTTGAGAAATTAGTTCCTGTTATAAGGAAGATCTCCAAGAGACCTTAGTTGCAGTGGCCCGAAAGCCAAGCATATTTTTGAAAGCAGACAGGGTTTCTGAGGTGGTTTCCTATTTGTAGGGAATACAAATGCCCTGGGATAGGAGAGGCCCAGGTGGTCTCAGCCTTGCCACTAACTCGGTGGGAGTCAACACATGTACTTGTCTGTTTTTCCCACTGGACTAAAAGCTCCTTCAGGTCAAGGTCTGTGTCTTATTCACTGTCATATCCCTGGTGCTGGCTCTCAGCAAGTACTCAATAAATGTTGTCAAACATATTTATAAAGGAATCTAATTATACCTTTCCTGTTGGTTATTTTTAAAGTGCAAAATAGGACTGGAGTGTGGAAGAAAGATTGCTCCGAAAGCAATAATCACTTCCAGTCCCAGATCTCCCAATAATTATCCCCATGGCAAGCCACCTAACTTCGCCAGGTCCCAGATTCTATACTAGCTAAATATCAGGGCCCATTAGCTCCTCATTATGTTATCCCAAGGCTCCTCAAAAAATACACCTGATGCATATGGTAACTTATTAAAAGCTTACTTTGTGATGAAATTTATAAAAGGGATACAAAATAGTGTAATTTTTCATTATTGCCATTAGGCTACTAGAGTATGGGGTGGGGAGAGACCAGAACAAGGGAGTTGGGCAATGTCAAACTGCTAGGCATTCAGAGAAGGGGTGGCCCGTGGGACTGCAGTGACATCGAGGACACAGATGTGGCCTGAGCAGGGAAGGTGGAATGTGCCTCAGGCAAGGGAGGGGCAATCCAGAGAGAGGGAGGAAGAAGAGAAATTGACTTGCCTTTTCCTCTTGGTGGCTTTGATGGCGATGAAGTTTTAGATTCCCTAAGGTGCGTCTGGGGGAAAGGGTACTCATTCCTGCCCTCTCTTCTTTCCCTCAGCTCACTGTGTTCTTTAATACTAAACCGAAACCCAAGGAAATAGGTGGGATGGTACACTCTCTTGGCCTGCTTTCCTTGATGATTCCCATTCTTTCCTAGTGTCATAGAAGAGGATCTGACTCCTTTCCGGGGAGGTATCTCGAGGAAGACCATGGCGGAGGTAGTCAGACGGAAGCTAGGGACTCACTATCAGATCATTGAGAACAGATTATACCGAGAAAATGACTGCATGTTTCCCTCAAGGTAAGAGTGATGAGGCATATATATCTTCTGACCTTATGACATGGGCTTACTTGATTCTGTTCTTACGGAGAAGCCAATTAAAGAGACCCACAGGCCAATCCCTCTTCACGTTTCAGAGGACTGTAAAATAGTGACAAGCTCTTCTCGCCTGGAAATTTTCCTTGCCAACTCCTGTCCTCTTTTCTCCCATATCAAAGCCTGTCTCCTCTCTCTTCATGAGGCTTGGGCTTGTCACTGGTTGTACTGGCCTGTGACAGTACATCTTTCCCTGGATATAGTGGCTGCAGGACACAGTCTGATGAGACCTAGCAGAAGTAAGCTGGGCTGAAGGTGGAGGAAAAGCATTATTCTAGGTACCAAGTATTCAAAGTAAGGTGGTGAAAAGTCAAGAGGAGTAACTGGGGCTGCAGATTATGCAGCCTACACTAGCCAGGACTGCAGGTATGAGAGTTGAGGTAACAAATCAGTGGACAAGGGCTGGGGGCAAGCAGGAAGGGTTACAGACTAAGCCTAGAAGTTGGGTTTAGGTGGCATTATATAAAGTACAAAACTCAGAGGGCATGACATTCCCTTACCTAAGATCTTCTTTCTAAACCGTTGCTGTGCTGTGATTAAAAGTAAAATAAATGAGCAGTATTGCAAAAAGCATGTATCCATTTGGACATAAGGATTTATATTATTTGTTCTTAATAACAATTTTATTACCAATTAATACATTTTCAGTGTAAAAAAAATATGTAAAAACAACCACAGAAGGGAAAATAAAGATCATTTAATTTCTCACCACACCGAGGTAATCACAGTTACATTTTGGTTATCAAGTGTCAGGGGAAAATAGGTGGCAGTGGGGAAAAATCACTGCGATATTTTAAACAGACATTTGTTTCATTATGTGGGACAATAACAGAGACTTTAAGTGTAAATTATGAGCATAGGAGAATTTCTAATTTCTACAAAGAGAGAGAAAATATGAAGACCGTATGTACATTGTTGGACTTGAAAGCTTACCCAATGTTTAACAGTTTGGCTTTTGAGAATTTATTTATTATTAACACAGTTGACCACCTTTTCTTATGCTTATGGATCATGGATTTTTTATTTTTATTTTTTGCAGTTATCTCCCTATATATAAGTCAGTGTTTTGAATCATTCATTTTCATGCTGCCAGAAAATTTTGGTGAATCCTTGGAATGCTGCTCCCACGATAATGCTCGTTAAGACACTCAAAGGATGGGGCAGGAAAGCTAAGCTGTCAGTCTATTCTTTCTTTCTTTCCAGAAATCCTCTAAGGATTCCCGGGGAATCTAGCCAGAATGCTGTATTATAATTTTCATGATTGTGTACATAAAATTCTTTTTCTGGCTTGCAAAACTGATTTTGATAGTATTCTTTATTTCAGGTTGAAGGTAATGAAAGGTTTCCTTTCTTTCCTCATAAACTGTGAGGCTTAATTATGGTAGAAAAGTAATAATGTCTTGTGAGAAGCAAGCCCAGGGGATACAGTTAGAAAATTAGCCATTTCAGTTCCCATCACAATCTGTGTCTTGCTTACTAAACTATTCCACATTGATGAAATAAAGAAAAAAACTGGAATGAACAGAGAAGTGTTGGTAGGAGTAGCAATGATACTCCCTTCAAACTTTTGATGATCCAGTTGGAAAATTTTATTAAGTATTAGAAACTGGAGCAACTTAGCTAGGAAAGATAACTTACAGTACATGAAAGAGTAGAATAGCCCTTTTAGGAGCACTGCTTTCAGGAGACTTCGCAGTAGGCTCATGATCTGAACACTGGCTTGTCTTACTTTAAAAGTGCACATGGCCTGGCTGGTGTGGCTCAATGGTTGAGCGTCATCCCATGCACCTAGAGGTCACCAGTTCGATTCCCAGTCAGGGCACATGCCCAGGTTTTGGCTCAATCCCCAGTAGGGGGTGTGCAGGAGGCAGCCAATTGATGTTTCTCTCTCTCCCACTCCCTTCCTCTCTCTAAAATGAATAAAAATACTTTTTTTAAAAAAGGTGTGCATGAGACACTGCCTTGTCCTAGAGCAGGCACTGCTCTGGTGAATCTGGTATTTCTGTTTGACAGATGCAATGGTGTGGAACACTTTATTTTGGAAGTTATTGGGCGCCTCCCTGACATGGAAATGGTGATCAATGTACGAGATTATCCTCAGGTTCCTAAATGGATGGAGCCTGCCATTCCAGTCTTCTCCTTCAGCAAGGTGAGTACAGGAAGAGCCATATGAGGGGATGCAGGGTGGTCCCCTAGGATATGAGCAGGAGATGATTGTCCTATGACAGAGTCTAATGGATCATGGTGAGGATGAGGCCCGAGATCCAGGAATTGGTCTGTTTCCCTGTTAGCTTCACAGTAGTTGAGCAGTAAGACTGAGGAGATAGGGTTGAAGATCTGTAAGTAATGTGAGATTGCATAAGTGTCTATAGGGTTAGGGAAGGAGAGGCCTGAAGAACCTGTAGGGCATTAGAGGTATGTTTCAGAGATCCTTGAGAGAGAGTGGCCCAAGAAAGAAAGCTCATGGGCTTGGAATTAGAGAACACATTCAAAAATATTTGTTGAGCTCCTACAATATACACATCCGCCACAGTATTGGGCATCACCTGGCTTATCTGTCACTGTATCCCAAGGGCCCAGCATGGCTAACAGTGAAACCGAAGGTGTTAGAAAACTCCACACAGTTTATATCCAAGCAGTACATTGAGGGGGTAGGCCTGGGATATCCAAGAGAGATTTGTGAGGGGGTATTGGGTCTAGTTATGAAGGTATAGGAGTTCTAGGACATATCTGTGGGCCTGGAGAACTTAGGACAGTTCATATCTTGCCAGTGCTCAGATTATTTTAAATGGTGTATTGGCAGGGATGGGCCTTGGTTCCCTAGAGACTTAAGTATGAATACATTTGGGGATAGGATGGGGGAATCTAGAAGAGAGTGGGTGGAAGATTCTATGGGGGAAGAGTGGGCTTAGGAAAACCCTATGGACTTTGAGAAAAGGAACATCATCTCTGATTTGGTTTTTCCAAAGCAGAGGGACCTTTTATCCCCACTTTTTCTTTATCACAATTTACTTTCTCTCTAGACTCATTTATTTCCTGTATTGCAAGTGGGCTGAGGCCACATTTGTGTTCCATTTCCCATGACTTAGCCTCATTTCTCAAAAGCACTTGGCCCCGGTGTTTGTCAGGAAAGCCTTCCAGAAGAACAAATAGAGGCTCCCATGTAAGTCAGTAAGGACTTTGTTATTTACCTGTTGTTTCTGTGGATAATAAAGTATGACCATTAGTATATTAACTCTCTTTTTATCTTCACTTCCCTCCTTTTTTTTTAAACTAATGACTCCTAGTTTCCTAAGGAAGGATTTTAGTCTGTCGACTTTATAGTAATTGTGCAGCTTCTATTGAGCAGCTATGTCTGAGCTGCTTGATGAATCACATACCATTTTTTTAAGTATTTGAGAGAAGGCAAACAGCATATTGCTTGTGTAATTCCAGTGGAAGAAACAGTAGGGTTAGAGGTTTATCAATGGCCAGAGTTGTAATTTTCTTTTTAATTTTTATTTATTGATTAATTTTAGAGAAAGGGAGAGAGAGGGGAGAGAGAGAGAGAGAGAGAGAGAGGAACACTGATTTGTTGTTCCACTTTTGTTTTCATTGGTTGCTTCTTGTATGTGCCCTGACTGGGGATTGAACCCACAACCGTGGCATATCAGAACAGTACTCTGACCAGCTAGGGCGAGTGGCCAGAGTTTTGACAGAAGTAACCATAAAAGGGGAACCAATGGTTTCAAAGTTTTTTCAAAATATGTGGGATAACACCCCTTACCCCATTCTGCCCATTAGCACTTCTAACCCTGACAGACGAATACCCAAGAGTTTACTGACCAGCCAGTGCGAGCTCAACAGTGCCACAGTGTTGGGTAGTACTAACACTTACTGTGTACCTACTATGTGTCAGATGCTGTTCTAAGCTTTTTTACATGTATAACTTTTTTTTTTTCAATCCTGACATAAGGAGATTTTTTTCATTGATTTTTTTTTTAGAGAGAGCGGAAGGCGGGGAGAGAAACATTGATGTGAGAGAGACACATTGCTTGGTTGCCTCCCACACACTCCCTGACTGGGGCCGGGATCGAACCTGTAACTCAGGTACATGCCCTTGACCAGGGAATCAAACCCGAGACCCTTCTGTCCATAGGCTGACACTCTAACCACTGAGCTAAACTGGCCAGGGCCATGTATAATTCATTTAATATTCAAAACAAACCTATTATATAGATAGTATTATTGATACTATTATTTCTCCCATTATAAAGAGGGAAACTGAGGCAGAGAAAGATTAACTTGTCTGGAGCTGAAAAGAGGTGGAGTCAGCATTCAGATTCAGATGATCTGTCTCAAGAGCCCATGCTCTTGACCATTGCATTGTATTTCCTAATTCTTGCTCTCAAAAGACCAGTCTAGAAATAACCAAGAACTGGTAAGACAGTATACATTCCAAGTGTAACAGCAGTTAAAAGATGAGAGAGCTTATGTGATCATTCAGAATTGTTTATATTATTTCCTTAAATTAAAAACCCTAACAGTGGATGTTCTCTAGAAAAACAGAACTTTGGGGAACTGGAAAAGTTGACATTTGATGCAATTTCAAATTCTGGGATTCAGCGAGCCCATGAATTTTAACCCACGGTCATTTTTGCCCTTTAATGCCTCGAGTCTAGCTTTACAGATGAGGGAAGCTATATCTTTGACAATGTGGTGCTAGGACTTGCAAGGCCTTTGTCCAGATCCTGTGGCATGAATGCAATTGGCTGCTTTTGCTTCTCTTCTGAGACTGATTTAGAACGACCTTTCTGTTTCTGTTGAAGACATCAGAGTACCATGACATCATGTATCCTGCTTGGACATTTTGGGAAGGGGGACCTGCTGTTTGGCCAATTTACCCTGCAGGTCTTGGACGATGGGACCTCTTCAGAGAAGATCTGGTAAGGTAGGTCCTTTGGGGAGGTTTTGTTTGTCCCTCCTTATGGCTCTTCTTGAAATAAACAGTAGCATATAAACAACTACTTTAAAATGACTAACTTTTAAGTTAAAAATAAGAGACAAGAAACTGTTTATAGCAAAAGCAACTTGGCATGTGTATAAAAATATCTAAGTATCCATAGAAGGAGAACAGAAGAACCTACTCTAAACTCAGCAGTGCCTCTGTGGGAGGGACTATAGAAGACTTTTCTTCTTTAAATTTTTCTGTACTTTTAAGACTCTCTAAATAAGAATGAATTACTTTAATAATGAGAGAAAAATGAAGGAGTGTGTTGGAGAGGATAGAACATTACTCGGAGGACCATAAATGCACTTTATAATTTAAAACTAAGTCGTTTAGATGGGGATGGGGTGGGCATAGATGTCCCATAGGTATCTATCTCAAAGACAAGCTTACTCCAGATCCTCTCTGATACATGATTGGGACATATCTTGGCCTGTTGGCTCCATCCCATCCTGCCATCATTTCAGAATTTAGATTGTCCAGGTCACCTAAGCCATAGGTTATTTCTTACCTGGCTACATTTTACATTAACGATTTAAACAATATGGGTACTTAATTAGCAAACTTCTGGAAACACAGTCTATATAGTCTTCTCTCAGGTATAGGGGAAATAATTTAATTCAACTTTATTTCCACAAACATCTATCACCTGTACTAAGTGTAGCTAGAGCTTCAAAGATGACGAAGTGAATGTCTCTTCCCAGGAGGAACATGTGGGGCTTGAGGGGGAAAAAACAAAACAAAACAACAAAAACGAGTCTATTATCCACAGGTATACTTTGGAAATTATTTTTTAAGATAACTTGGTCTCATACTTCATAGACCTGGAACTGGAAATTGTGCTTGTCCAACTCCTTATTTTAGGGATGGAGGAATGAAAGCCCAGATGGGTTAAGTGACCTCATGAAGATCAGGAACCAATCCAGGCCTGAAGTTCAGGTTTCTGAGTGCCTTTTTCTCTCCACTTTACCAGTTAGTGTTACCCATGTTCTCTAGCTATTGAGGCCGTCGTCTCTTATCTTTTAATTTGGAACATAATTTTGAGAGAGGGGAAATATAGAAAGATCTTAAACCTTTTGGTTTCCAAGTTATTCTTGGCCTTAGTTTTCTAATTCCTTTTTTTTTTTTTTAATATATCTTTATTGATTTCAGAGAGAGGAGAGGAGAGGGAGAGAGAGAGAGAGAAAAACATCAATGATGAGAGTCATTGATTGGCTGCCTCTGGTACATCCCCTAGTGGGGATCAAGCCCACAACCGGGGCATGTGCTCTGACCAGTAATCAAACCTTGATCTCCTGGGTCTTAGGTTGATGCTCAACCACTGAGCCTCGCCCGGTCAGGCTCTAATTCTTTTTTTCCCCAGGTACTTGTAAATACCCCTTTCACACTCTTTTTGTAGCTCCTCTCCTACCTGCCATACATGTGCTTTGTTTTTAAAAATCTTTGAAAAACAATTTTTTTTTAAATTATGAAACCTATAGATGCCCATAAAAATTTATAAATATATCTAATCCGGACAACTTTTTCCCCACTTGTCAGGGTGTCTTAGGAATCTTTCCACGTCAGTATATATGAAGCTACTGCATTATTTTAACAGTTGCATGGTGTTCTGTTGCATGGACGATAATTTACTTCATTGTGTCTTTTGCTGGACATTTAGACTGCTTATATAATACATGCATACTTTGTTTTTTTGTGGACTATTTGAGAGTATGTTGCATACGTTATGATCCGTTACTCTTTAATACTTTCATTGTGTATTTCCTAAAAGCAAGGGTGTTCTCTATATAACCACACTCTGCATTGTAGGATGTTTAGCAACATCCTTTGGCCTTTACCCACTAGTGGCCAGTAGCAACATCCCAGCAGTGACAATCAGAAATGCCGATAGACATGGCCAAACGTCCCATGAGGCAGATGGGCAAAATCTCCTCTAGTTGAGAACCCTGATATGAGGAGATGGTTGGAGGGAAATTCTCCACTGAAATGTTAAATTGTTAAAAGTGTTTGTCAGTGAGTAGAGGAATTAGATGATGCTTTCCCTACTTTTATGTTTTTCCATTAGAATTTTATATAATGAGCACGTATCATTTTTCCACTGGGAAACCCATAAAACAAAAACCCTGATGCTGTAGTGTCTATATTTTGGTGGAAGAGAATACAGGGCAGAGCGCTAGAGAATGCTGACTTTGGGCTGGAGAATCGGAAAAATGTGATCCAGCAAGAAAGGGCCAGAGCCCGGCCGGGCGTGGCTCAGTGGTTGAGCGTCAACCTAGGATCCAGGCGATCAGGGTTCAATTCCCGGTCAGGGCACATGCCCGGGTTGCGGGCTGCTGCTGATCAATGACTCTCTCATCATTGATGTTTCTCTCTCTCTCCCTATCCCTTCCTCTCTCTGAAATCAATAAAGATATGTTTTTAAAAAAAAAAGAAAGGGCTAGAGATACGCCAAGAAAGATGGAGCAGTGCTCTTGGCGGAGAGAAGTGAGTAATGTGACACTATGTATCTGAAAAGTATCTCTACCTAAAAAGTTTGTATCCTAGTCTCATTATGCTAATATAGACAACCAATCCCTCATTAACTCCAGTTGAGGCTTCCCCTCCTTTTTCAGAGGAAGACATTGTGAAAACTTCTGTGCAGGGTTTCCACGAAGAAAGTTCAGAATGCCGTGTCTGTGAGCTAGTAGTTTCAGCGAGGAGAGCTGGTCGGGGTAATGTGTTCCAAGATCTGAGTTTCAAGGACTTTGTCATTATGGAGCACTGAGTACAGTTTCGAGAATACCAGGGTTCTTTGCAAAATCAGACTAACTCTGGTGACACCTCCTAGGTATCCAAAACATGAAGTCAGGGAGTGATTTGTTTTCTTGCCCTTAACTCAATTTCTGATACTTTCCGCAGTTCTCTTTGCATGTTAACTTTATCGATAGCACTCTACTTAAAGAAGAATAGAAATCGTCTGAATTAAACAGCCCTGAACATGTCACTTGGTGTTTGTGAGCTTTTCTTTCCATGTTGCTGACTTAGTAATGGAGCAGTGGATTTGTAGATATTACGAGCTAACCCCTCCAGAGGAATGAAGTTAATAACAAAAGAGAACATAATGCCGTTTGGGGATTTTTCTTTTGAATAGCCTGGCCCAGACTTATTTAAAAAATGTAAAGCTCTGAACTAATCCTCAGAAATGGTTAAAACATATCCTTGATATATTTAAGAAAAAAACGTAGGAACTAATAAAAATCTACTTTTAGGTCGGCAGCACAGTGGCCATGGAAAAAGAAAAACTCCACAGCGTATTTCCGAGGATCAAGGTGATTATATTTTCTGACACTTTACAAAGATATTCTTACAATTAATGTGTCAAATGTAAGTAATTTTGAGGATGTAACAAACTCTAGCTCACAAAGAAATCTGAGAAATAAACGTGGAATCATAGAATTTTACATCGGAAAAGAATTCAGATTATTTGACCAAATCTCCCATAATTGAACTGAAATTCAAAGAAGTCAAGTTCACCCAGTAATTCAACAGGTATTTACAGAGTGCCACCAGTGTGATGGGCAGAAAGATGAGTTGTCCTCTTGTCTGGAAGACGACAGTTTCCTAGGAGTAGCTTATGGTCTCGCCCAGTCACTCTGCTGGTTGCTATCATGAGCGGATCCCCTGACCACGTGGCTGCCAAATAGTGGTCGAGAGCACAGACCGAGACCATGAAAACGAAGAGGGGAGCAGGGGAGACAGAGAGGAAGAGGGAAAGGGGAAAGGCTGGGGAGGGACCCCATCCTTGTCGCTGAGCTCCGTATCCCCAGTGCCAAGGTCAGTATCTGCCACATAGATGCACAATGAATATGTGTCGAATAGATGAATCCAGAAGAGACTGTGAAGAAGGAAGGGTTTTGTAGTTTTCTTGGCGAGTCCTTGACAGAGATCCCGCCCTCTGTTTACTTGAGCAGGGGACTTCAGAGTGCAGGCGGGCCGAACAGCCACTGCTTACTGTCTTTCATCAACTTCTCCGATGCTCCAAGCTTGAGATGACAGATGCTTAACTTGGTATCCATGTGTGAACTTCAAGGGTTTTAGGACTCCCTTGAAATTACAGGGAGATATGTACATTTTTCTAGAGAGGAGAATCCGTAGTTATCAGATTCTCAGGGGATCCATGACCCCCCCAAATGTCAAGACCACCTGCTACTTGGACCCTAGCAAGGGCTTTTTGTCCATATAGTCTTCATGTTTTTAAGCCTTTTAGTTTTCTTTTTAATTTAAATATTATACTAGATTTTACAGAGCACACACAACAAAGGTCATGATGCTATTTTTGTGAGTGGTGATTACATAGTCACACAGCAATGGTTACTGTTGATTATAGAGGCTACATGAACCCTCCTAAAAGGGAATTCATTCCCTGGTATATGGCTGTAATGACCAGAACGACATAATCTTAAAGACTGGATGCAAGCAAAGGAGGGCCAAATTCTCCCCATTCCTGAAGGGTAAAGTGGGGACAGCCCAGAACCACCTAGATGCTGCAGTATCCAGTATCCCCCTCCTCTGCTGTTAAAGTAACCAATGAGTTGTCCACCTGTGTGCACCATCATTTCGTTGGGTCCAATGACTGCTTACCCTCCAGAGACTGGGATTAGTATTACGGTGTAGGACACATAGTTTTATGTCATGTGTTTCTTTTATAGGACAAGTCCAGAGCGAGATCCTCTCATTCTTCTATCTCGGAAAAACCCAAAACTTGTTGATGCAGAATACACCAAAAACCAGGCCTGGAAGTCTATGAAAGTAATCACCAATCATCTGAATAGAAACCAATTAGCGAACATTCTCACTCAGAGAACATTGCCACCTGGGTAGAATTTCAGATTAGGTTTCCTGTCAGTTATGGGATGAATGAAGAGGAAGTTCCATGAACTGGTATTAGCATACATGTAAATTATTCTTTATCAAACTCACACTGCTTTTCTGGACCAGATTCTGAGTAGTATTTTATTCTACTTTGAAGGTTTCAACCAGAGGTCACAAACTTCTCATGTAAAGGGCCAGATGGTAAATATTTTAGGCTTTGTGGGTCGGGAGGTCTCGGCTGTGGATACTCAACTCTGCTGTCCCAGCACGCGAGCAGCCTTAAACAGCGTGTTAAATGCATGGGCGTGGCTATGTTGCTAATAAAGCTCTATGGCACTGCAATTTGAATTTTATGTAATTTTCACTTGTCAACATAATCCCCTTTGGATCTTTTGCAACCATTGGGAAGGTAAAAATATTCTGAGTTTATGGGCTGTATACAAAAAACAAGCAGTAAGCTGGATTTGGCCTGTGGACTGTAGTCTGCCAACCCCTGGTTTAAACCAGTGGTTTTTAATCCTGACTGTTCAACCAGAGAGCTTAAAAATGATTCACATGAATCAGAATCTCTGGGGTTGGGATCCAGGCATCTTCATTTGTTTAAAACTCAAGTATTCTAAGGCGAAGCCAGCAGTGATTGGCTTTGGTTTGGAGCCCATCTCTGTCCCATTAACTCTATGACTCCTTGCTTTATTCAAAGAACTTTAAGCCCGAAATATACTAATCTGAAATTTCCACATACCACATGAGGATGACATGAGAAAATATTTTAAACTTCTTGTGGGGAAAACGAAGTATATCTTTAAGATAGGTATATGCATTACATGATAGCTTTAATCAGATGGGAGCCTTATTTAAAAATAGAAATATGAAAAAATGTATCCATTCAGCAGAGCAGCTACTGTGGGAGGCTACAGAAGCAAACAGGACTTGTTCCCTCATCAAGGAGTTTACCATCTGCTCAGGTGGCTGGAATATGCATAGATAGGGCTGTCAAATGCAGATGCCCCAGGGGCCACAGGATTGAGCAGGAGAGCGCGCTGAATGTCCAATCATTGATGCCAAGGGGGATAGGAGCCCCGTTTACCAGATCTTTCTTTTTCCAAGAAAAGCTGAAAATCTGGATTTCTGTAAATATGGGCAGTGGTTTGAATATTTACTTCAAGTACTTTGCAAGGCCAACAAAATTTGTGGGTGGTTTACACCTCTAAGCCCACCAGCTACCTCTTGTGACCTCCTGTGTATATAGTTTACACAGGTTGAAATGGCTGTAGGCCATGACCTCTGAGTTCATATGGCTCCAGGGGAGCTTAATCTCTAAAACCAGACGGACCCAGGTTAGAAAACCTAGCTCTACAACTGAGGGCAATGTCACCCTGAGCAAATCATCTAACTTCACGAAGACTTGGCTTCTTCATCTATTACATGGGGTAATAATGCTTCCTGAGTGTGTCTATTATGAGACTTAAATGAGATCATGTTATTGAAATGTTTACCTTGCTTGCCGCACAGCGGTCTTCAATAAATGCTACCTTTACTCATACTAATAACTTCCTTTTCACTTGAAGGATACGTTGGGAAAGCCAGCTGCTAAGGATGTCCATCTTGTGGATCACTGCAAATACAAGTAAGACTTTCCCAGACTCCTGACTCTCAGTTTCCCTTTTGCTTTTGAAATAGCTGCACTTTGGGTGAGAACTTGAATAGCAGGGCCCAGCTGGGATTTATGAACGTCACAGTAATTCATTTAGCTGTCGTTTACTGAGAAACTGCTGTGCACAAGGCTCTGGTCTGAGTTTTGTAGGAACTGTGTAAACAATAAAATATGGTTCTTGCTTCCATAGAGCTTGTGTGCTAATCAGAGTGGTGGAATTCCCTCTCTCCACCCAGTCAATAGCTGAAGTTAGATTAAGTACTTATCAGGTTAATGAAGAGTTTAAGGTTCAACATGAATAAAGCATATGTAACTAAAATATTATATTTAAGTGCCAGGACTAAGAATTAGAAGAACAGGTAAAACCAGGTCAGGAGGGAGGCCAGTGGGGGGATTTAGAGAGATGACTGCTGATTACAGAGCACAGTGGGAACTATAGGGAGAAACAACTCTGGTTGGAGACAGGGGTGCGTGCATGAGACATGTTGAAAATAAAGTGTTCTTTCTAAGATGGCTTTTTTTCCAGGGAATATTTCTTTGAAGATTGATTAGGTATGCCTGGTTGTCCTCTTCAGACATCAGAAGAAGAAGGGACAGGGGATGCCTTTGACCAGATGGGGTGCCCTATGGGGAAAACAAGGCTAGGGGGTGAGCATGAGGAGTTAGAGACATTGGGCCTAGAGTAGCTTATAGGAAAGTGTGAAGTATTTCCATCTGAGCCTTGTATCCTCTCTACTCAGCACCCAGCTCCTGGCCTTATCTAGCTCTGCCTGGAGAAAGTATCCCCCTTCCCCCTCATACTGACATTTACAACAACAACCTGTAGCCCCTGGAAGAACAAGGAGTTTATGGAAACTCCACAGGGACATGCTGATGTGTCCTTAAAAAATCAGAATGGAAGGAGAAGGGAGAGGGGCGTCATAGAAGGGGGGAAGGGATTAAGAGGGAAAAAAAGGTCATATTTGTGGCAGCAAATATATCAAGTATAGTCTGCTTTCTTTCTTTCTCAGGTATCTGTTTAATTTTCGCGGTGTAGCTGCAAGTTTCCGGTTCAAGCACCTCTTCCTGTGCGGTTCACTTGTCTTCCATGTTGGTGATGAGTGGCTGGAATTCTTCTATCCACAGCTGAAGCCCTGGGTTCACTATATCCCGGTCAGAACAGATCTCTCCAACGTGCAGTAAGCCCCTGTCTCCCAAGCAGAGATTCTAATGACTCCTGGAATCTGCCTCTAAGTCCCCAGCCATTTAACGCATCTACTCCTGATGACATTTTCCATTGAAAGCTTTTTTTTTCTTATCTGGTTCACATTATTATTCAACTAGGCTCAAAGTGGGATTTAATTTGAAAAAGTGCTCTAGTGCTGGTTCAAAATGTAACATTCAGACGGTATGCAGTGAAAAGCTCTAATCTCTCAGAGACTAAAGATGGGGATATCTGATCGTGTTATGTTGTCTAAGGAACTTGCAGATACAGCATGAGAACTGACCCCAGTGAAGCTGAGGAAAATGTCCTCTCATGATGGGAGGAGCTAGAAGGGGGGGAGGGGCGAGAAACATACAGGGGCCAGAGGAGACAGGAGGGAAGTTTCTTCTTCACTATTGATTTGTGATGTGTACCATTGAACATTTCTCTATTTTCTCAGATATGTCCTAGAACTACATCACATTGCCTTTAGCGTGTGTGTGGATTTTTGTTGTTATTTTGTTCCTGTGGGGACCCTGATATCTTTCCTTTAAAAAAGAAATAATCTACCATCGATACACCTAGAGATTAACCGTAAATCTCAATCTATGGTATTTCTGATTTAGTGCTAATAAGCTTGTTCTATATTTTAGACACTAATAATTCTTTCCACTTTAGGGAACTGTTACAGTTTGTAAAAGCACATGATGACATAGCTCAAGAAATCGCTGAAAGGTGAGTTCTGTTCATTTTTCCTGCCCCACTTTATCATCCCTCCTCTGCCCTAGCTACAGTTATAGGAATATTGTTACCATGGTGACATCTGGATTTCATCCTTAAAATATAGAGATAATGAGAATTAAAGCTGCCCTGGGGGAAAAACACACATTCAGAATGTCCCAAGCCCATCTTTTATATAGAAGTAGAGTGAACTCACTGAGATAACTAAACAAGTACTTTTTCTGAGCATTGGCTGTTCACATGTCTGTGTTTAAAAAAAAAAAATTAAGTTCTGTTGCTAAGTGCACGTGTGGATATGATGGCTAGAGGGTTGGTTCTGAGGATCAAAAGAGTTAATTCATATAAAGTACTCTGAACAGTGCTTGGCACAAGGTAAGCACTCAAGTGCTTTAAAAGTTCTTGTTAATCTTGTCTCTAGGGGAAGCCAGTTTATTATGAACCACTTGAGGATGGATGACATCACCTGTTACTGGGAGAACCTGTTGACTGAATACTCTAAATTCCTGTCCTATAATGTAACAAGGAGGAAAGGCTATAATCAGATTATTCCCAAAATTTTGAAAACTGAACTCTAATAGTCATCATCGGACCAAAGTCTTCTGTACAGCAGGAAGCTTACCATGAGTGTGGCACCTATACCTTGAATACTGTTATCAAGCCAAATATCTGGTTTTCCTTACCAGCCTGCACCCAGAGCAAGTCTCGAGAAAGATCCAAAATGTGTATAACGCAGATATGAAGCAGCTCAACGCTTTGGCTGAATAAGGACCTGAAATCATGAGATGTGGGTTTTGAACCCGATTCTACCTTTCATTTCCTTAGGACCAATCACAGCTTGTGCCTCAGATCATCCACATATTTATGTCCGTCACTGTGAAACTGACTATGACCATGGGATGATTTCCTTTTTCCCACTGCTTGGAGCAGAAACTCATTCATTTGGAACTAGTACAACTCTTCACAATTCTGCAATTATTCTAAGCTTGATCTTTGATGCTATATTTTATAGGAAGCCCTATAGGGTTTGTGAAAAATACTTGGGGATTATTTTCTGAAAGGTCTAAGGAAGCAGTAGTTGTGTGTGCAATGACGCAGGAGTTCTCTTTTGTAAATGCATAAACTCTCTGGTACTCAGGAGGTTTCTCTAATGCCACATAGAAAGGGGCCAGTTGCAAGAGCAATTGCAATTGGATCTCAAGTTCCCTTTTGTGCCTTCACATCCTTGTTTTTATGGTCTCTAAAAAAAGGCAAAAACCTCTTAATTAATTGAGGAAGTAGTCCTCACTCTTTGAAGGAACTGTGCATGGAACAGCAACCCTTCACTCTTTGCACATCCTTAGTATTTTTTCCCCTTCCATTGGCAGTAGTCCACACTCTCACTGTCTTGCAGGGACCTCTTCCCTTTACCCCCTTTTTAAAACAGACATTTGGATAGTAGTTTAATCTCGAGATGCTCTTGCTAACATAGTCAAAAATGAAGAAAAATTGCTAGATTAAAACTCATATAGTCCGATGACATAGAACCATCCTTGTCCCTTAAGCCCAACCTTTCTACAGAGAATTGAATTCTTTTTCTTTGACTCCTAAGAACAGGTTGCTATTAATTGGCTTCAAAATTAGGAAATGTGAGATTCAGTCATATAAAATCAGGATTTTATTCCATTTGTGAGAAATGGCCTTTTAAACTCCCTTCCACAAAAATTTAAGCCTAAGGACCTTCTTAGAGGAGTTAAATATCACCAGTAAGATCATTGCGTGGAATAAGGCAGATATTTAAAGTTGAATTTTTTTAGTATTAAAAATTAACGAGAATCATGTCCTCGAGTGCTGGAGATCTAGCAATAAGAGGTCCAGATTCCTGAGTTATATTATGGTTTTGCCTTGTCAATATGAGGTCCTAATAGGTGTCATTATTCTCTCTGTATTTTACTTTTCTTCTCACTAAACCAGAAACAAAATGTTCTGTCCTTTGGATTAGGAGCTAAAACTACATTTTTCTGAGGGTGTTTCCCATTTTGCTTCAAGTTCTAGCTCAAGTGTCACCTTCTCTCTGAAGCCTTTCTTTCATTCCTCTAGGGCCTACAGTCTGGGCAGTTAGGGTCCATCATATGTTGCTCATGCCTGTATTCAATGACATCACATTGTTCTGTAGTTATTTGACTTTCTCCTACTTTTCTGCGAGCTTCTTAATGGGTAGGAATCATGTTTTACTCATCTTGATGTCTCCATTATCCAGTACAGCGAGTGCCTTGCACAGAGTGGACATTAAAGTATTGTTGGAAGAGTGGATGGTGAATGAGTGGATGGATGGAGACAGTTGGTTTAATTAGATCCTATTTACAGAATGCGTAGCCATTGGCTCCAATGGGGGACTGCGCAAGATTAACAATTGGAACAATGCAAATTATCATCTGCCCTTTGCTAAGTCAATTAGGGCATCTTTGTATTTAAATACAGCAAATGTTACTCAGATTTTATACTTACCTGTTTACCTCCACATAGATGGTATGAGGATGGTGTGTAACAATATGTAAAATGTATGTTTTTGAAAGTAATTTTTATCCCCATAACTTTTGAAGTTTGTTATTATTAATACTCGCTGGGTCTCAGACTTACCCCTTTCTCCTCAGTGAGCTAAAAGGTCACCCTTTTTTTCAAGGAAAGAGTATAATTTAGTGTGTTTGAATGAAGTGGGATACTTGGCTAACACAAGTAATGCTTTTCCTTTCTTTATTTGGTATGATCTGTGTGATGTCAGTGGTCCACCTTATTCCACTGTTAGGTCAGGTTCTCCAAGTTGCCAAGAACAGAAACTGTCTCTACTAGATTAAGCAAAAAAATTTATTAGAAGGATATGAAGGCATTTTGAAGAATCTAAACAAGTTTCATAGCAGTCGGAAGGGTAGAGAACAAGGCAACTCCAGGAATCTCAGCAAGAGTTCTGGACTATCTCTAGGGTGCTACTGTGTGTAGTTCCAAAGAGGATAGTTCCCTATCCTTCACCCCCATACTGACAATGAATAAGAACACACACACGTAAAGACCCATCTAAAGATGCCTCCAGCCCGGCTGGGTGTGGCTTAGTGGTTAAGCATTGACCTAGGATCTACATTGCAGTTTGATCCCTGGTCAGGGCTCATGCCCAGGTTGTAGGCTTGATTCCCAGTTGGGGGCATGCAGGAGGCAGCCCATCAATGACGACTCTCATCATTGGTGTTTCAACTCTCCCTCTCCCTCTCTCTGAAATCAATAAAGATATATTTAAATAAATAAATAAATATGCCTTCACTTAAGAGATGCCTACTGCATCCAGAAGTAAGGTGTGAGTGAGGCAGAGGGGTACAATTATAATTACTCATTTAATATTTATCAAATACTTTTTGAGCATCTGTGCACAAACAGTGGGAAATAAGAAAATGTTTACAACAGGCTCCCTATCATGAAGGAGCTATGTAGTTGAGATGATAACAGGCATCATAAGCAAAAGGCGATTAAAATGATGAGGTCAATTATTTATAAGAACAATTATTCATAAAGACAATGGATTTGGAGTTTAGAGGGAGAAGGAATTTTCATCTGGTGCAGATGGGAAACTTCATGGAGATAAAAATTCAGTTATGCTCTGAGGGGTGGGTAAATGAAGTGGTTCTTGGGAGCTCTCAAAATTCATTCTACCTATAGAAACAGTTTATGTCACATGTAATATAATAAACGAATGTGACAAGGGCAATACCTGGTAAACCTGGCAGGGAAAGGGAAACTTGACCCCTGGGAGAAAGTTCATGATGGGGGAAGATGCTATTGTGTTCTATGAGCAGAACTCAACAATGAGGGCTGAGGGGAGGAGAATGGTGGTTCCAGGCACAATGTGACTGTACTGAAATCCTTCCCCGATTCCTTTATATTGGTGGCAAATGCACATCCTAGGGAGGGGAGAGCTGTATGTTAGACCCACATAAACCTCATAACATCTTTTGGTTTATCATTGCTCTGAGACCCTTCAAAAGGAAGACCACAGAGTAGGGAGAGTATTTCCCTGGTGGTAAAAAGAAGGTAAGCCCCATGGGCTTGGAGAAGCAGGAGTGTGGGTGTGTGACAGAGTCTTAGGAGCTGAGATGAAATAGCAGCCAGCAGTGGCCAAGGGTCTAGGGTCTTCTTGAGGTACTGGCTGGCAAAGGGAATCTTACAAATGAAGCTCCAGTTACCCAAAGGAAAAGGCAGCTATGGAGTTAGTGAAATTTGCCTGTTAATATGACCACCTTTGTATCTACAAGGTAGTGAGTCCTGGGAACATTTGAGTTTTGTATAAATTATTTCATTAGTATCTGTCCAACACACCTGCCCCACAATTCCAAGTCCTCCCTCATCTCAGAATGATTCTGGGATCATCTTAAGCATTTAATTTTTTTCTACATGTAGACTATAAAGAATGCACAGCCATTTCCTTGGGCTTTCAGGCCTTTGGAGTTTATGCTGATGCCCACCTGAGCCTACATGTGATAAGCAGCAACCTGGAGCCAGAATCAAGAATGAGGGGATCTGAATTCTTCATTCATTAACCTACATGCCAGGCACTGTGCTAGGTCCTGGACAAAGAGATGAATATACGTGGTCTCTGACCTCCAAGATAGTCTACTAAGACAGCGAATAGGAAGTTGTGATGGGAGCTGAATCTAATCCTGTCTTGCAGGCACCAGAGAAATCTTTCTGGCACTGTCACTAATCCAGCTAGTCTAGTCAGCCATTTCTCTGGACTTACCTATAAAATTCTAGCTGTAGTGAGCAAGGGGAGCATCCCCAAAAGGGGTCACACATATTTGTGTCTTTCTACAGTGGCCCTTTATTAGAGGAAACCTCCCCAAGAAGCCAACAGAGTTACAGGTTACACACAAAGAGGGGGAGCTTATGCGCTAGAGCATAGCGAGCGCCTGGCGTAAAGTCCTGATCACTGATAGCACCTGTGGATGGAGAGGCAGGCAGAGGTCTGAAGCCAGGTGGCTTCAGTGGCGCCTTGGTCTGGGAGAAGGAAAGTCCTGTTGGGCTCCAAGCGTGACTCCTGGTACAGCCAGGCTTGAGCAGCAAGCGGTGGAAGCTCTTGAGTTTTTACAGCCCACAGTGGGTGGCAGTACCAGTCATACCGTGTCCACATGAAGGCCTCATCTGAGGGTTCAGACTTGCGGTTTTGGGCATCCCGGGAGCATCCCAAGGGCATTGCTGTTACACCCCATTACCTCAGGTCTGGGGGGTCAGGCCTCTTGACACAACTGTGGTGGCTGACGGTGACTCCACATGGGATTCTTGAAAAGTGTCCAAAAAGTCTGCTCTGCTCTTGTTCTACACACCAGCTATCAAACTCCAGAATTCTCTTTGCTAAAGTGTAGAAGTTCTGAATTACATCTAGAAAGGAATACAGGAGGGGTAGGGATTGGCAAACATAGGAGGCTATGTTTGGATGCTAGCAAAGATTAAACGGAAGTACACAAACCAGCTTGAGCCTCTTTTAAATACGTGTGTTTAATAAAAACATACTTCTAAGCATGTTAGCAGAGGCTGCAGCGATGGAAAATTATTGCTTGACTGTCAAGCACACACCTGCTAGAAATTCTGGAAACTGTACTACCTTTTGAGAAACAGTAGGTATCGGAACTAAGGGGTGTAAGATCCATCTTGAGGAACTGCTCAAAGCTGATTATTCCAAACAGTGTCCTGGAAATCTCCGCCTCTCTGGCCTCTCTTCCAGGCCTCGGTTCCTTCTGGAAACCAGAACTTCAACGAGTATGAATGGACTCAGCCCAGCAGGCTCCTCCGACCGTCATAGGTGGGTTGGGCTTGTATTCGCACAAAATTCCTCTCTCTCCGTGCTCCACTGGTACTGAACATTGCACTTTCTTACTCGTCTCTGTGGGATTTCCGGCGTTTTAAATACGCTAAACTCCTGTAGCCCGCGACCACACGGGCCGCCTGAAGCCAGCCGCAGACCGGAGGTCGTGTGGCCCCGGAAGCCCAGGGGGCGGGACCAAGCGGCGCTGTGCTTGGCAACGCGCTGCCGGCTCACTTCCGGACAGTTGCCTTTCGTCCCGCCGCCAACCGGAAGTGCTTTCGGCTCCGTCCCCGCCGTCGCCCCGCCCCTTGGTCTTTGCCCTGGTGGGGGCGGGACTTCCTGTCTCGCGTGTCCTCGGACCTCCAAAGTGAGGCCGGGAACTGAGGGACGGAGTAGCAAGAGCTCTGGCTGTGGTTAAGTTGGTACCTAGGGCGCGGGGATTCACCCACTCTTTCTTGCATTTATCCTAACCGTTCTCCCACGGTGTCTCCTAGAGGCCTTGGTACCCCGAGAACCAAGCTTGTGTCTGTCCGCAGGTTCGGAGCGGGCCATGGAGGTGCGGCCGCCGGCGCCACGGAGCATCCTCTGCAGGGCGCTGGGGCCTTTCCCTAGGGTTTTTGCTGCGGAAGCTGTGGGCGCCAGTTCCGTGGCCGCCGATTCTGAGGTCCTTGTGCAGGACCAGAAGCTGCCTCCCTACGTCCCAGAACCCCATTACCAGGAGTCCGGATGGGACCGCCTCCGGGAGCTGTTTGTCAAAGAGTAAAAGTGCCCAGGGTCTGTGGGGAGGGGCCGCGAGGGAAGTGTCCTGCAGCCTGGCTTATCCTGGGGCAGAGGACCACAGGGTGGTGTGGTTTATTTTTTAACGGGGTTTGGGCTTCTAATATTGTTGTACCGCAAGCTTGCATCCTGTCACTTCCATTTGGCAGTTGTGTAGGTGACAGGACGATTTCAAATGATAAGGGTGAGACTTATAAGTCAGAGCTATTACAGTGTTAGTGTGGTACTCTGATCTTACAGATTAGAAGAATTTGACTGAACTAATTCGTGTTAGAATTGATTCTGGAACCCATATCTGCCCGATCCCATTCCAGGATTCTTTTTCAAATTTCACTTGATCCCAGACTTCTATATTTTATGACCAGTAGCCCACCTCCCCTCCAAAAAGTGGAAGTTGGAGAGATGGGCAGAGAGTTGTAAAATTTTTATTCTTCCAAATAAGGAATATGTAAAAATAGTACCTATTGTCTCATCACTTTGTGGAAGATATTAGCTGGGTTAACAAATTAGGATATTTCAGAATAAAAGATAATCCTTTGAATTGAATTAACTTTAATGAAAAACTCAGGATATTTCACTCATTCTTTGATTTATTTCATATATTTATCAATTACTGGTGAAAAGTTTGCCCTTTCATGAAGTACTTTACAATACTACATTGTGTTACCAAGTGGCTAAATTAACTTTGAAGCTTTATTTTGTTGCTGAGGGTCATATAGTTGGGGCAAGGAAATTGGCAGAATTATATAGGGTATCCCAAAAAAATGTATACATACTTTTTCCTGATAGTTCAGTTGATGTTTCTTTTCAGATTTAATCCATTGAAATTAATAATTATTCAAAGTTTGTATACATTTTTGGGACACCCTGTATTTAATAACTATTTAGATTTCATCCTTTTTTTTTTTAATCCTCACCTGACAACATGCTTAGATACAGGAAGGGGGAGAGAGACAGATAGACATTGATGGG